TACAGCAGAAAACTGAAAAACTAACATGCAACGCCATTAGTGTACTGAGAAAAAAATGCTATTCATTCTATATGCTCAGTCTTGCCTCTTTGAGTTTACATTAAATCCAAATATGGAGGTTTTTTATTAATTTATACAGCCTGCTGGTTTAGATTAACATGGACAAATCTACTAACGACTGGGGGAAGATGGACTCTACCATCAGTAGCCTGATATGGATATATTTCCTTTCTCCGTACCTTTTTGACTTGCGCAAATTCAAATCGGTTTCATCATAGACAGGTTTCGTATTCCTATGCCTCTATTCAGAAATATAATTTGTATTTTACCACATACCTGAATGTCAGCCTGCCCAGTGCTATCAAAAAAATTAACCGTGCTGACACATCTAGAACTTTCCTATTCTCAGAGAGATTAATTGTGCTTCCTATAGAAATGTAATGACTTCTTTTAAGGAAACAAAAGGTCCAAAGAGATGCCTTGCTACTGCAATGAATTCCAGAAAGCACTTCATCTACCTGTAGGGGAGTTCCTGGTTCAGTACAGTGCTTCTGTCCACACATATAAGTGAAAATGTAAAACTGGACTGTTTCATACTAGATTGTAGCTGAGCATGTCTACAGACTCATTCTTTTTTGGCATAACTGGGAAGATAGATCCCACGGAAGGACTCTATCACATATTTCAGGCCGTTGTCCCATCCTCGGAATCAGATGAGCCTTCATAGGACTTCCTGCTGCAATTAGAAGCCAGTCAAAGTCTACACCCTTGTGATCACTCTCTCTCTAAATATAGGATGCTTCTCTGAGAAACGTAAAAAGCAGTGCTGGTCAATTCCTTTACTCCCTTAGAAACTCCAAAGTGAATGATGGTATCAAATGGTTCAGTCTTACAGCTTCACGATTTTTTCTGTCAACCTTATGTTTTAAATGGGAAAACTTTTAAGTGACTACAGTGTCCCATGCATGACAGCAAAGCTTTCAGTAAACCCTGATTCTATTTTCTGCTCTTTTTCCTTGCCAAAGCATGGCCTAAAATTAGACAGAAAGGGAAAAAAAGAAAAAAAGTGGTTCATAGACAACCCACATGTGATATGATCAATGTAAACTTTTCCAGGTGCTTAAAAGAAAATGAAGGCCTACAACAGCATGTCTATCTAAAGTGCAATCTTACTCCACCAGAATCTGTCATAGTCTTGTCTGGTTGGAGATCTTCCTGCTTCCAGTCAGGAGTTAATGTACTGCCAGTCTACCATCTTTATATCATTTCTTAAAACTGCTGTGGATTACTGCCCCCAAAAGTATCTCTCTGCATTATATAGAAAGAGCAGCTCTTCTATCTTAACATGGCTTATCACGGAGAACTGACTCTGCCTGCCAAACATGACCCTCTCCACACCTGGCCATTACAGTGATGCAGACTGGAAGAAAACCCACTTGAGATGGCCCTGCTGGGCCTTCAGCAGGACCACCTGCGCTCACCTCCACAGTTCACAGTGTGATGCTTATGTGTGTTCATAAGCAGCATTATCTTCACCATGCTTAGAGGTTTTACACTGAAGTTTTATTCACAATCATAACTTAAGCATATATTCATAAATTATTATGTCCTCTAATAGGCTACCAGGAAAAAAATATGATAGCCCTCTTAGCCATTAAATTTATTTTGTTTTGGTTTTGTTAAAAATATACCCACTTCTCCCAGCAACAAATCCCTTTAATTAAGAGGTTTTAATGGGGTCTTTATTTAGGAATACATAATGCCTGCAATGGGGTCCATTCTGCAAAAGGTCTCAGCACTATGAAATAATCTGACCTCTATCCGATGTCTGCAAACACTGTCAAGAGGGAAACCCTGATGCATTTGACGAGGGGCAGGGAGAGAGGTGGGGAAAAAAAGCAAAGAAAAAAAAAAGGCAAAGCAAAAAAAAAAAAGGCAAAGTGGGAAAATGAAAAGCAAGTAGGGAACAGATACTCAAGAGTAACAATGAAAATTGATGTTTAAAAAAACTGCCCAAAACCCTAGCCATTTCCTAGTATATTTCTCAGGAAGGATCAAGATTTAAAAATCTATTATACCCCCCTTCTTGAGCACACCGCTGCCATGCATGTGCATGGGCACATAGAAGAAAAAAATCACTTGCTTGCTTTAACTTGGAAAACAGGTGTCTGAAGAGGGATATAACAGGCCTGTAAAACCAGAAGAGGCATGGCAGTGAATGCATAGGCACCTGAGAGTCTGCTCTCTTTCAAAACAAATATTAAGAGGTTTTAAATAAGAGGAATAGGCCAATCAAAAACAGAAGGATGTGGTTTTTGACACAGAATGCAGGTAAGCTGACCATCTCCTGCCACAACGTGCTGTGGATGGCAGAAGGATGCTAGATAAATGCATGGAAGAGCAATCCACTGAGAGTTGCTGAAAACTCAGAACCCCCATGTGACTCAGGAAGCTCCTGAGACAGGAGCAGTTGGAAGCTGAGAGTACAGGCTAGGAAAGGGAGAGAAGTCATGTTTATGCCACTCTTGCATCATGCCTTGAAGGTCTGTTTTTTGACCACAAAACATTGCTGGAGAGATAATAATCCAGAATGGCCACCTTTGTACCTATCATGTAAAAGACTAAAGGAACTGCTAAATTTGCCAGACAAGAAGATACCTTTTTACTTTTTATTGAGCAGAACTACATGCTTCAAATTACACTTTCTAAAGTATATTTGCAATATCTGGATGTACATGGTTACATCCATATTCAAGAAAATATCTTAGTTACTACCATAAACAAGTTACCCTTCTTATGGTATTACATATACAGGTAATGTCCCACCAGGTCAGAACAAAGTTTTAGTTTGTTTATTGCAAAAGGTAGTTTCAAAAAAAGGTTTGGTATTCCCTCAAGACCTATGAGTACTGCCACAGATGAGTGCTTTTGCAAGGTCTCTTCTTTGAAAGCATACTGCTTCTTCAAGAGGTTTGCAGTCTTTTTGTATGAGTGATTAATATTACTGCTCCACTTGAGGTTTTCCATGATGATTTTGCACTACAACAAGTAAATAAACTGTTTTTCAAAGAAGAAGGTGGCTATGGTGCAACAAAAACCAGCGGATGAACACGGACAGTAGTCAAACTTAATTTTGCCCTTTAAATGCCCTGTGACATTACAGTTGCTCACAATTTTGAACTTGGACTCAAGCATTGTAACAGACAGGTTTGCCCTCAAAACAAACCAATAGCCTCATTTGACTTCATGGCTAATAGGACATGCGATTTCACTCTAATTTCTCCATCAAACCTAAGTCTTAAGCTAGCCAAGCCTTTCCTTTGAGATAGCTATGAAAAATGTTTTCATCTAAATAACTCAAGGGCTGGAGAAATCCAGACTCCAGAACCAAGCTCTCAGGGCTGGTCATCCATTGGCTCTCCCCACCATAACTCAACAATATTGACCAAGCTGCAGTGTTTTCAGTTAAAGCAAAGCAGCAGTATGTGGTATCCCAAAAGCAAACAGAGGAGAAAGTGTGAAAACAGTAAATATTGTAACATTTAAATTGCATAAAGGTAGAGCATTATACTGAAGAAAAGTAAATTGGAATAAAAGCTACTTCACAATCTTTCAAGACATCAGCCGCACAGATAAAACATTGCGCTAGAGGAGTTTTTAACAGACAATTCACTGCAAAATCCAAAATCCAACATCCATTAGTTTAGACTGTTGCATCAGTCAGCCACAGATACCTACACAGGTAATAGGCAAAGGTAATGGCAAACCAGACATACGGCACTGAGGGTGAGTCAGTATTTTGGATTTTCATTTTTTTTTTAAGTCAGTTTCGTGTTATAACCATTTTGTAATTCAACATTGAGAGCCGCCTGTTTAAACTTGGTTTCTGATATACAGTTCTTTTCAGTCTTCCTAAAAACTTGCTATTTGAAGCCCGGTTGGTTATTTGGTGAGGTACCTTATGCAAGCTGCTGTATCTTGACCTGTCTGCAGCAGAGATGATGTCAGAGTCTCGAGCAAGGGACTGTTAGCACTAGCACACGGTAGTGCTAGCTCACCGACTTGCTGCACTAGATACATAGACTTCTCCTCTGGCCCTGGCTATAGCAAGCGAAGCTGTTCCCGCCCAGGGACCTCTGACACCTGAGAGCTTCTGCATCGAGCCGTTTGGTCACAAACAGCTGCCACAGAACCATAAAACTTTCCTAGACTGAGGCTGCTTCACCTTCAGTTTGAGATTTTCTATCAGAAAATAGAACTCGGTTCCAAGTTTGTTGTTTTCTTTCAGCCCCTGCTGTGGGCTTAGTTTCCCCCCGCCCCCCCGCCGGTACCAGAGCAGCAGGAACTCCGTCGTAGGAGGGTCTGGCATCCGCATGGGGCAAGCAACAGGTAGAAAGGCTTAAAGCTGTCAACTTCATTTGCACCAGAGCTCTCACCAACACCTCCACCACGCCTAACTACCACCAGTGACACCGCACTCACTGAAGAAGTCAAGCGGTCGACGTAGGAAACGGCGTCTCAGAAGAGATGCTCCGAACCGAAGCGTGCGGGCTGGGCCAGGCTGGCTGGTACTGCCCCTCCCCGCTCCCCACCTCGGGAGGTGAGGCCTTCCACAGGGTGCTGGGCATACCGGTTCCGAAACCCACCGCGCTCGCCCAGCCACCGGACCGGCCACGCGTAAGGGCGAAGGCGCGTTCAAGGACGGCGTCCTGAGCGGGCAGCCGTCTTTCCCTCAGGGCGCCGCACCGCGGCACCCGGCCTCCTCACGGTGCCTGGGCACGTCCGGGTTCGGTTCGGTGTCTCTCGAAAGAAAAGCCACCCGGGCAGCAGCCCTACGCGCGCAGGGCTGCGGACACCCGCCGCGCCCCCCCGGCCCGGCCGCACGCCGGGCGGCGACGGCAGAAACGTCAAACGAGCCGCTGCCTGCA